CTAGGCGCAGCCAAGCTGTGGAGGGCATCCGTTTTGGTGGCCTGAGGATCAGGTCTCTGCTTTATGCAGATGATGTGGTCCTGTTGGCTTCATCAGAACGTGATCTTCAGCTTTTGCTGGAGCGGTTTGCAGCCAAGTGTGAAGCAGCTGGGATGAGAATCAGCTCCTCTAAAACTGAGACCATGGTGTTGATTCGGAAAAGGGTAGAATGCCTTCTCCAGGTCAGGGATGAGGTCCTGCCCCAAGTGGAGGAGTTTAAGTTTCTTGGGGTCTTGTTCACGAGTGAGGGAAAACTGGAGCGTGAGGTCGATAGGCGGATTGGTGCTGCATCTGCAGTGATGCGGGCGTTGTACCGGTCTGTCGTGGTGAAGAGAGAGCTGGGTCAGAAGGCGAAGCTCTCGATTTACCGGTCGATCTACGTTCCTACCCTCACCTATGGTCATGAGCTTTGGGTAGTGACCGAAATAACGAGATCGCGGATACAAGCGGCCGAAATGAGTTTTCTCCGAGTGGCTGGGCTCTCTCTTAGAGATAGGGTGAGAAGCTCGGTCATTCGGAGGGGCTCGATGTAGACACGCTGCTCCTCCACATCGAGAGGAGCCAGTTGAGGTGGCTCGGGCATCTGGCCAGGATGCCTCCTGGACGCCTCCCTGGTGAGGTTTTCCTGGCACGCCCAACTGGGAAGAGACCTAAAGGGAGACCCAGGACACGGTCTCTCAGCTGGCCAGAGAACACCTTGGGAGTCCCCGGAGGAGCTGGCCCAAGCAGCTGGGGAGAGGGAAGTCTGGGCCTCTCGCCTTAGGCTACTGCCCCCGCGACCCGACTCCGGATAAGCGGATGAAAATGGATGGATGGATGGATGGACACCAGTCACCCTTTTCTACATCTAAACATCTTTTGTTGTCCGTGACTTGAAATGGTGTTTTTTTCTTTGGAACTCTGGTAGTTTTACCTAAAGTTGAAATGGCAGCAACCGGCTGTTTTTCCTTCTCTGATATTATTGAGCGGAGAGCCTCTCACATCAGTGGTGATTTGTAGCTAAATATTCAAGCTTGTGATAAATGAAGGACCCAGGAAAGAGCTGTTGTTCAGTGAGAACGACAACTGTTGTTTCCAATTGTTAGTTTCAGATTAAGCTGTGTTATTTTTATTTTCTCCACAATATATTTATAGCTAGGGTATTTTGTTGTTAAGAGGCATGAAAAAATGCTTTAACCCTCTCAGGCTCAAAATAAGTTTTGATAAAAGGACAAATGAAGTCCTTCAGGGGAGCTTCTGAGTAGAAAATGCTCATGAAATATGTATGTGGAGTAACCAGGTAGGTAGGTTTTAACGGTGCACATCTGCAACGCCTGCCTCCAGAGGGTTAAAATAGCTTGTTTTGCAGATTTGCTATTGTAGCTTTAACTAAAGTAAAGTCTTTCGTGTTTCTACATAGTCTTTGTTTTAGAGATTTTTCTGCCTTTATTCATACTCTTAGGTATCACATAGTTTTACTGTAAGGTGCCATCACACTGGCTGCAACACAGTCCCAAGCCACAATCGACTCAGGCATGTGCTTTACATTAAAACCTATTTATTGCATTTTTAAATCATATTACTGGTGCAACCACCATGGCTGCAACAAGACAGAGTACAATCTACCCACCCTCGTGCTTTACAGTTAAAAAAAGATAGAAAACAGAACTTTCATATCATTACTAAACTGTCCAAAAGAGACCTTTCAACACTATATTTTGCTGCATTATGTAAATAGAGAATTTTGCAAAATTCATGACAAAATATTTGGTGCACACTCGGTGCTCCATTGAAGGGGAGAATAAGGCCGGTGCCAGCGCTCTCCAAGAGGGAAATGTGAATGGACCTGGCTCTGGTTCAGAGTTGAATTACAGTCAACTTTCAAATAAATATGCTTCTGTAGCAGTCCTCTGTAGCAATCCTTTTTCTTGCGCTACTAGACCTCAACCTGACCTCCACCACTCCTGCTAACTGCCATTTCTTAATTACATTATGATCTGAGGCAATGGCTTCTTGAAAATGCCGTGCTATCTTCTTCTACCCTGCTGCTGCTTTTGTGGGCATCCGTTATTTTAATTTGTGGAGTGCTAGGCAGCTGCTCAGAGGAGCCAGTGCTGCTTTTATTGTTAAAGAACAGAGCTTGAGCAGTCAGAATATTTCAAAAGGTCTTTCATTATTATTTCTTCTTAGGCGTAAAATTGTGGCGGAACAACAATAACGCACTCCTCTCGATTAAAATGTTTAATCTCTAACTTCATGAGCATTGCACGTCAATTTTGCATTGTCATTTAAGTGCAATCTACCATAGAGCATGGGTGCCCAAACATTGTCATGTGTTTTTGCTGGTTCATAGCTTTTATGGGCCAGACTGAACACATAACCTCACTGACCTTATGACTGATGGTGACTAAGTGTAGACAGATTCTCAGTTGGTGTTCAACCGAGTAGATCAAGACTTTTGCAGGATGTATTCTGAATGTGACGCTATTGCACACAAGGTTTCACAATGGTGCACACGTCTCCATTTTAGTCACAAGATGTCTGAATTATGTCTAGTTTGGTTTGTAATGTACTTTCATTTTATTCCCAATTTGGACGTCAACCACTCTTGTTTAGTCGTCTAACTTTTCTCACACTTTTGACTCACACATATGGAGGTATTCGTGACACATTTTAGCAACCGAAACAAAAATTTGTCATGAATTTTCAGCCTGGAGAAAATCTTCAGACTTCTAAAGCAGTGAATCTCAACTGGTGGCCCGCGGGCCGCCCGCCAGACATTTCCACCCAACCCTTTGGGCCCTAATGCCCCCCCAATTGGGGCCTTTGAAGTTAAGCAGCAAAATTCATGTCCCAAATATCAATATTTGTTAACCCTCCCACTGTCCTAATGGGTGTGACCCCGCGAGGAAAGTTGACCATTGAGCAGGGTTGATGGTTTATCCTTTGGGTCCATGTGGCAGGGGTGAGTAGTGAGCACCAACTCACCCCTGCCACATGGACCTCAAGGGATAAACCATCAATCCTGCTGTAGCATCATGAATGTCCTGTTTTTGACCTAAAGGTCATGATCTGCTGCGTCTGCTCGAGCAGAGACATAAAGTCTCTGACAGCCTAATCTACATGATAGTGGTCAAGGTCTTTCATGCACTCTGCATCTGATCTGCTTCACCTCTGTTACAGCTCAAGACGAAGACGAAGAACTATTTTGATAAATACATAATCAAACAACGTTTGTTATTGCCAATAATAATGTGAGCCCAATGTTCAATCAATCTGTGAAATGACAATGTTATTACTTGATTACTTGTTATAATCCTGTGATCAGTAGTATTTTACAAGTAATTATAATCTTGGACATTTGCACTAGACACTGAGGACACATAATGCTAAAGTCACACGACACATTTCCTTTTCTCTGATCCAATCAGAACCATCGTTTCTGATGCGAGGCGTGGTTTTCTGTGGTGTTTGTAAAAACCCTCTTTTGCATGTCAAATTCTGATTCGCCAGTAAACCAAAATATGACAATTATAAAAACTATTCCACGCCAATTTTTCTTTAGTTCAAAGCGTTCTAGAGAAGTCTCGGACAGGCCATCTGGACTTCCTCTTCAGCCAAAGAACCTCGACAAGCTGGATAAAATCTGTTGCAAGTTACACCTGACCGCAACAATTCCTTCAGAATAAAAGCTGAACCTCACGACCCCTTCAGGGTCTCGCTAACGCCAATGATAACCTGTCGTGACCTGGAAGCATTCCAAGACTAGTTTGGTCGGCACTGCTGCTTTTCTACCGGCTTCGGTTCCAAGGAGGGTCCAAGAGGACCTCGGCATTCTGGATCTAAACGGAGGCTTCCCCTGCGTACGTAGACCGACAGATGGCGTTTCATGTGTGTTATAAATCTCCGACTATAGTTTAGAGTGAAACATTCACTCCCACTCAGAACTAAATGCTTCTCCGGATCCGTTGGTTCTGATAGCAACATTCCACACATACACCATCATCTCACGTCTCATTCCACCTAGTCCATCAGTACACAGAGTGTTTAAGTTAGTCTTGTTTAAATTGTGTAGAAATACATTTTTTAACTATTATAAACCTGACTCTCTCTTTCCTCTGAGTTAATACGAAGTGTCGCTTAATCCCTGCAATAAAAAGTTCTGATCTTGTGGTTAAAATATTCAAAGATCCATCAGATTGATATTTCATATTTCTATGGAATCTCACATTTTATGGTTCATAAGTAAGATGTAAACTACTCA